TTGCAATGCATATTTGTTCATATTTCTTAACAAGTGAAATATTAAAGGAAATTCCAAAGACAGGAAGAATTATAAAATTGCTTTCATCAGCCCTTTTAGATATAAATAGTTATTATTTCTATTTTTATTTATTTTCTAAATATTTATAGATTCAAAAAATACTATTTCAATTGGCGATCTAGAATGTTCTGATAATTCACGAATTTTGCTTAAATTATCTATTATTTCAGTCTGGGCAGAACTCCAAATTGCTAGTGAACATAAAACATGTTTAAGCTTTATAATTAAACCAAATCTAGCACTTCTCATTCCTTTATGGATTACATCCTTGAGAGATTATACTAAATTCTGTTTCGGAACATATGAATTGTCTAATAATTTATCTTATTTAACATCACAATCAATAAATTTCGACAAAATATTTTCTAATATAAATAATGATGAATTGTTTGAAGTATTATCTTAAATTTTAATAAAAATCTACTAACAAAAAAAGATTTGTAATAAATTTTGGATAAATGTAGTCTATGCTATTTCAATTCTTTTAGAATCAAATAAAAACATTATTTTCAAATCAATAACTTGGTATGAATCAAATAATTTAAACATTATGAAATTAGACAAAAAAACCAACCATAAAAAAAAAACTTCCACATTATTTTTTTTACTATTTGGAATATGTTTTGAGGCATTACTACATTCCATTTCAAACAAAAGAGTCATAAATACAGACAAACAAAAACTTTATATACTTTCTGCCTTAGAAAAAATATTAAATATATCTCTACATAATGAAATTATATATTCTGATACTACTTTTTCAGAATTGGTAATTCTTCTTAAAAGATTATTATTAACGGAACAGCCAATTATTCAAATTTTAATAATACGAATTGCAACAAGTTTAGTAAATAATTATCCACTAGAAAACCAAAAACATCTTAAAAATAAGTTCTAATATTCATATAATTTTAATATGAGTTGACTTAACATTAGTAAAAACTATTCGGACCAACAAAAAAATATGCCAAATTATCCAAGTAAACTACACGAACTCTCAGAAATCATAATATTACCACTTATATTATATTTCCAACATACTAACACTATTATAAACGGTAAAATTATCACTACTATTTATACAATTATTAATAAATGTAGATTTAAAGGCTCATGAACATATATCAAATTTAATAATATATTCTTTAGAATCATATATAAAAATCATAAAAAAATTTCCACTTATAATTCAATATGATTTTTATGATTGCACTTTTTTTATAATATTAAGTATAAAAATTAAGCCATACTTCGAAATATACTAATAAGGCAGAATTATATTACAATGAAAATTCTTATCATTTAATTCCTAAAATTCTCCCACTAGTTAAAGTTCTTTGTGAAGATATATTAACTATATCTAAAATCAATCGAAAAAGCTATCAAATCTCACAAAACTTAATAGAAAATATTTTGGATCAAATAACAAGAGTAATTCAGGATTTACCGTGAGTTATATATATATTATATATATATATTATCACTAATTTCCAAAAGAAAAGCATGGGAATATGGTTTACCTTTAGCTACAATAATTATGACAATTACTGGACAAATACTTTCTCCAAAAAGTAAATCATTTCAAAAATATTATAGTTTATTTACGAAATCACCTACAAACGATGTAAACACTTAAATTTCATAAGACTTTTATTAAATAATAATAGGAAGCAAAAATACTTATACATTGTATGAAGTCACTTTTAACATCTTTTTCTTATATGAAACGCTACATTCTCCAATCTATACTATTTGCTTCTTTTAATATTATTAAAAAGGCTCATTTAGATTTTAAAAAATCAGCTATGTTTGATATGGGAACAAACGCTTGTAATATTATAATTGATCTTATTAAAAATATATCGGGAGATAATCAACGTATGTTAAAATTTCTATTATAATAAACATATCTTATTATTTTTAGAATATATAGCTATGGTGACAATTATGCCAATATTAATCCGTTTTACTTCTAACGAACAATTAAAATCAAGTCATAAAAAAGAAATTTCTTTTAAGCTATTATCTTTAATGGCATGTTTTAGTAAAAACTTTCATCAGGTTCTAAAAAAAATTCCAAAAAAGGATTCAGATATGCTAAAGGATTTATTTAAATATACTTGTTCCTCTATGCCTATAAGTCCTGAGACTGAATCAAAATTTTTTAAAAAAATTAATATGAACTAAAACTTACAGAATTATATCACAAAAAACTATTCTGTAAAAATATTTATTGATTTAAATTCTAGCATATGAATTCAAAACATATTTATTATTCATATAATATATATACGTACATATAATATAATATATGCGTTAAAATATATAACTCAGGCGTCAATCGAAAACTAAGTCATTTTTAAAATATAGAATAATTTTATAAGAAAATAAACCTTGATTACTTAAAAACAAAATGAATACAAAATTACCAGATTATAATGATATTTTTTCAAATACTTCAATAACGAAATGTAAAGAGCTTGAGGAAAAATTTGGGTATAAAATATTCACTTTTTTTTTAAAAATATTCACTTATTCATTTAAGAAATTACATTAGTAAAAAGAACCAAGAAATATATCAGCTTATAAAGTAATTTTGAAAATTCACTTTTTAATTTCTTAATATTTTAGAGATAATTATTTTAATATAATGAGTATCGCTGATTCAATTATTAAAATTGAAGAGGATTTTAAAACTATCAATAAGCAATTTATAAAGATTAAAAGTTCTTTTAAAACAGAAAAGTTGTTCAAATCCTCAATAGATTTAAGAATAAAATTCAAAATTCCTATTTATGGTATTTATACTTATACATGATTATAATTTAATGAATTTCAGACGATAAGCTAATATATGTTTATACTACGAAGCTATTACTATGTCTTCCTCAATTAATAAGAAGGCTAGCATCAAATTCAGAGTACTTGTTGGCTGCAACACTTTTGTATAAAATTAATGCTTTAAATGACGAGTTAAAAGTACCATTTTACAACAATACTAATTCTTTACTTAAATTTTTAGATAAAGAAGAAACATAATCTTTTAAATAGTATCCCGATTATAGAATCGAAAGCATTTTTAATAAAAATGATTAAAAAGAAAATATGCGATACTATTCCAGAAAAAAATACATATATAATTCTATCTGATCTTTTTTCTCTTAATATAATATTAGAAAAGACATCATTAGATATTGAAAAAATGTTTTGGAGGATTAGATTAAAAGACATTTCTGATATTTTTTATAAGATCAATATGGATTCGAACAACTTTTATTTTTTATTGAAAAAAATTCTTTATACTGCAATAATTGGTCAATGCATATTTCCAAAAGAATTTAAAAGCTATATAGAAACAAGACTAAAAATAGGTAGTCTTTTAGTATCCAAATATCATTACATCTGTAATGAAAGTATGCATATTCTACACTATTATAAATTAGAAGAATCATCATTCGAGTCAGATAAGTTGACTCAAGATAATTCAAATAATATATACATAGAATGGGAAAATGAAATTTTTAAAATTCTTCAATATAATGGACCCAATTGTTTAAACGAAATCAGAACTATAAAGTCATTAGTAGAACAATGGAATAATATTTTATTATTTTTTGAACAGACAATAATTAGTTTTAATCAGAAAAATACCAAATTAAATACATTTATATCAAAACTTTGGCAAAGTACAGAAATTTTATTTAACAAGCGTATAAGTTCTATGCTTAAATTCTCAATAAATATCGTTTTAGAACTAGAAGAACACATAAATAACGAACTTGAAAATATAAAAATACAGAATGGTTAATTTTTAAACATTTATTTATGCTTCATTTTTAATTTTGTTATCTATAGAATCATTTAAATCATTTTTATTTAAAAACAATAAAGAAATTTGGAATAGTAGTATTAAATTGACAATAAACTCTCGAATTCATAAACCAACTATTTTTATAGAAAATTTCAAAAATAAACTCAGCAAAATTCAAGAAGAACTTGAAAAAGATTCATCAATAATTACAAAAAGACGGAAACCAATTAATATTATATTAGAGAATTTAAAATTAAATACTTACAAAGAAAACAATATTTCGAATTTTCACTTAAAACTAATAAAAAATATCTATAACAAGTTATCCAAAAATATAGGAAAAACCATATCTGTTTTTTTAACATTAAATCCAAATAATAATATATCTAATACAGGTAAAAAAATAATTTTATTAAAAATTACATATAATCCTTCAAAGATATCAGTATCATATGTTATTTTATAAGAATTATTAAACTGGTTAAATTTTCATATCCTCTTGGCATTGATCTTAATTTCTTCTGCAATTATCACTTAAAGAAACTCTATAAAACATTATCATTATATATTTTTCTACATGAAAATATAAAAAGAAAACTAGAAACAGAAATAAACAAATTTATTTCAGTCGAAAGACCAGATATTTTATGGGAAAGTTAGTCGATTTTTAAAAATTTGCAAATATCTTATATTACTAGATAACCAAATATCTCTTCCGAATCATCCTAGTTCTCAACTAATTACTATTATCCAAGATCTTGGTTGGTATATGATGAATATTGGAATTGATATTTTTGACTACGATGCTATGCTAATTATACATTATTGTTTTATCGACATAATCTATTCTATTCTAAAAAATGCATTTAATCCTATATCATTGAACGAAAATAAAGATTACAAAGAGAATGAAGAATCTAAACATAAGAATAATTACTTATATTGCAATATTGAAAGTTTTCAATCAATTCATATAACTACTACAGGTCAACTACAACTATACTTTGATATGAAATACCTACTTGCATTATTTGGAAATATTCCTTATAAAAATAAAAAATTAGAAAAAATAGATTATATTATAAACGTAACTATTTTAATATCATATTCATAAAATTAATCCTTTTAGTATAATACAAAAAACGTTAGTGAAAATCACGATATAATAAATAAATTAGTTATTAAATATATAGAAAAAACAAAAATATGGTTTGATTTTCTTATTATTCATAATTAGTATAAATATTCTCGTATATATATTAGAATTATAATTTTAAATATTTTTATTTAATAATTTAGAAAAACTTTTTATCTAATTTTTTATAGAATGCTAATAAAATTAACTAACAATTTAAAATTCAAAATTACTCAAAGTAAAATAAAAATAATCAATATTTCTTTATAAGTCGCTTATTTTACTAGATTATCGATTATTCTTTCTTTATCCATTGATAAGGAAGTATGAAGTCCAGCATAAACCCATTATACAGAGCTATTTTAACTCACATTTCCATCTATATTTGCAAAAAAGAAAAAATACTGAATTTAAAAAAAATGCTATATCTGTATATTCTCGCACTCCAACATCAAAAATACTATCAACAAAACTTAAAAATAACTCTAAATTTAGTATACATCAATTTGACACCTATAATTTAGTTTCTACACTAGAAACAACAGGTTTCACTCATAGTCAAGCTGTTGCTATTATGAAATCTATTCACGCATTAATTAATAATTTAGAAGCAGCAAAAACAAAGTTTATTTCTCGTTCAAATCTTGAAAATGTAAGAAATCTTAAGAAAAACTCATATTAAAATATAAATTAGGAAACTCATTTATTCCATACATCCCAATCAGAACTTAAAACAGAAATTCAATCTATGAGGAAAAATGAAACAGCCATTTTATATACAGAAACGTCAAATTTAAGGAAACAATTAGAAACATTAGAGCAGATACTTAAAGAAGATTTAATAGCTTTAAAAAATGATGTGACCATAGATCTTAATGAAAGAAAAAGCTCAAATAAAGCAGAAGAAAAAAGTATCGAGATAAAAATTCAAGAATTAAATAATAAATTCATAATTATTCTTGGAGAAATTCGAGCAATGTTAGAAAAAAGTAAATGGGATGCTACTAGATATGGAATGTGTAAGTTTTTCCTGCTTGTAACAAAATCTTAATATTATATAAGTTGCAATATTTATCATTGCAGGATTTGCATTAATTGTTATTTCTGTGCAAGATACTTTTCAAAAAAAAACTTCTGAAATTAAATCAGAACTTTAATAAAGCATATGATTAATTAAAAAATAAAACATTAAATAATTATACATTAGATGTTATTTCTTTGTTCAATTCTTTTTTTTTTTTCAAAGTTATTTTAAATTATGATATAAAAAATACTCGTTAAATAAATTTATAAAACATAAAAATTATAAATTAAAAAATTATCAAGTTTAAAGAAAATCAATTCAAAAATCTCAATTAAAAAAATAAAAAAAAAAAGAACTAAAATATATTTCCTTATATAAAAAAACAATTTATACTATTTTACCAAATATTATTAATTTTTATGAATAAAATGTTATAAAAATCTAATAAAAAGATAATATTGATATTTTTTTAATTTAAATATCATAATATTTAGATATTTTTAACGGATTTTTGATTAATAAAAATTTTATAAAATAATTAAATTTAAATATTTTTTAATAACTCTAAAGCGTTTTATATATACATAAATATGAACTTACAATAATAAAATTAAGATTTCTAATGAATTTATTTTCAAATACAAATAAGAATACATTTTAAAAATATAGGAAATTATTATAAATATAAATTATTTAAACACATCTGACTAAAGTTATTTTAAACAGAAGTATTAATCAAAATATCATTTTAAAAAAAATTACTAAAAATAAAAATAGTAAATAATAATAATATATATAATTTTTCCAAACATTTATTATATAAGTTATATTTAAACTCATAAGAGTGCATATTATAAATTTAAGCATAAAAGACTTTCTCATCTAAAAATTGAGAAAATACATAAATTATTCATATTAAACTGCTTTCTTAATGAAGAATGAAGAAATTATCAAACTTAGTATTTTAGGGAAAGATTCTATTCATATTGGGCTTCACTTATGGCCACATATAACTAATGAACTATTTACATGTATATTTTCTCCAACATATGTAATCATTACGGATTCAAATATTGAAACCTTATATATTCCTAGTTTCAAAACATATTTCATTTCTATGGCAAAACAAAGATCTATTAATTCTCGTCTTTTATTTTTTACAATTCCTCCTGGAGAAAAATCAAAATCAAGAAAAACAAAAGCACTTATAGAGGATTGGCTTTTATCAGAAAAATGCACAAGAGATACTGTTATAATAGCTATAGGGGGCGGTGTTATAGGCGATCTCGTAGGTTATGTCTCTGCAACATTTATGAGAGGAGTTCGTTTTATTCAAATTCCTACAACTCTTTTAGCTATGGTAGATTCATCTATTGGAGGGAAAAATTCTATAAATACATCTTATGGAAAAAATGCAATTGGTACTATTTGGCAACCGGAAAGAATTTTTATTGATTTTACATTTCTTGAAACACTTACAGAAAAAGAATTTATAAATGGTATAGCAGAACTAATCAAGGTTATAAAAATAAAATTAATTTTTATATATTTTAATTTTATCCAGACTATTATTATATGGGATGAATCAGAATTTGCATCTCTAGAAAACATTTCAGAAAAAATTGCGAAAACAGTGAGATCAATGTCATTAACATCTAATAAACATTCAAAATTTAATGAAATTATAAAAGATCTTAAAAGATATATTATATCTTCGATAAAAATTAAAGCTCACATTGTTTCTATTGATGAAAAAGAAAAAGATCTTAGAACTCTTTTAAATTTTGGCCATTCTATAGGACATGCAATAGAAACAGTTCTAGCTCCTTATATTCTTCATGGAGAATCTATTTCTATTGGAATGGTCAAAGAAGCAGAGCTTTCTAGGCATTTAGGTATACTAAATCCTAATGTAGTATCACGACTCATCAAATGTTTAAACACATGGGGTTTACCTACATCTTTTAAAGATAGGCGATTTAAAGAAGTAATTTTGGGAAAAAAACATTTAATAGAAGATATCCTTGAAATTATGTCTATAGACAAAAAAAATGATAGTAATAATAAAAAAATAGTCCTTCTTTCAGCAATAGGAAAAACATATGAAAAAAAAGCATCCTCAGTATCTGACGATGATATTAGAACTATTTTATCACAAAATATTCTTTTATATGGTATTCCATTAAATGCATTTCAAAAACACACTACAATTACTCTTCCAGGATCTAAGTCTATATCCAATAGAGCATTAATTTTAGCTTCACTTTCTAACGGAATTTGTTATTTAAAAAATTTTTTGCATTCAGATGATACATATTACATGCTTTCTGCTTTGGAAAAACTAAATGCAGCAGAATTCAAATGGGAACAAGATGGAGATGTATTAGTCGTTAAAGGTAAATCAGGATATCTTGAAAACCCTCAAATGGAATTATATCTGGGAAATTCAGGAACAACAGCTAGATTTTTAACCAGTATCTGTACACTAGTACAACCTAATTCACGTGAAAATCATTTAATACTGACAGGGAGTAATCGTATGAAGCAGAGACCTATCGGCCCTTTAGTAGATGCTCTTAAAAATAATGGATGTTGTATAGAATATCTTGAGTTAGAAAATTGCTTACCATTATTAATTAAACCAAAAGAAATAGGGCTTTATGGGGGGAATATCAATCTTTCCGCTACTGTCTCATCCCAATATGTATCATCAATTTTAATGTGTTCACCATATGCAAAAACACAAGTAACTCTCTCATTAATTGGAGGAAAACCAATATCTCAACCCTATATAGATATGACTATTTCTATGATGTCATCATTTGGTATTAAAGTAACCAGATCTCATTCAAAGGAAAATACATATTATATTCCAAAAGGATGTTACACCTGTCCCTCTGAATATATAATTGAAGGCGATGCAACTTCAGCTACTTATCCTTTAGCAATTGCTGCAATAACGGGTGGAAGCTGCACTATATCTAATGTTGGTAGTGCTTCATTACAAGGAGACTCTAAATTTTCAGAATATATATTAAAACCTATGGGATGTGAAGTGGTCCAATCGCCTACAACTACATATATAAAGGGCCCTCCAAAAGGGAAACTCAAATCATTAGGGTCTATAAATATGGAATCAATGACTGATACCTTTTTAACAGCAGCAGTTTTAGCCTCTGTTGCTTATGAAGAGTCAAAACCATATGTTACAAAAATCACCGGGATTTCTAATCAAAGAATTAAAGAATGCAATAGAATCAATGCTATGGTTTGTGAACTTAAAAAATTTGGAATAGAAGCAGGTGAACTTCCAGATGGAATATATGTAAAAGCATTGAATACTTCCAATCTTCCATATTCAGTAGAAGGAATAAATTGCTATAATGATCACAGAATTGCAATGAGTTTTAGTGTTTTAGCATGCATCTCTTCCAAACCAACTACTATTCTAGATAAAGCTTGTGTCAATAAAACCTGGCCTTATTGGTGGGATATTTTAAATTCAACTTTTAAAGTTCAAATGAAAGGAATTGAATTCGATCTAAACCCTACAATCAATTCATCTATATTGCATCATCCATCAGAATGTACTATTTTTCTTATTGGAATGAGAGGAGCTGGGAAAACAACTTTAGGACAGCTTGCAGCTAACTTTCTTGGGCGGGAATTTATTGACTTAGACTCAATTATTGAAGAAGATATTAAAACAACAATCCTAGAATTCATTCAAAAATATAGTTGGGATGTTTTTAGAAGAAAAGAACTACATTTTCTTAAAACTCTTTTAACAGAAAAAAAAGAAAACTATATTATATCTTGTGGAGGTGGCATTATTGAAACTGAAGAAGCTAGAGATCTCTTAATATCTTATATAGAAGCTAATGGAATTGTTATACATATTCATCGTAATATTCAGGATATTATTAAATATTTAAATACTGACAAAACACGTGCTCCTTATCAAGATAATATAATGCATGTATGGGAAAGACGAAAAAGATGGTATAATTTATGCAGTTCTCATCAATTTCACATGACTTCAACAGATCCTACAGAATTTAAAAAAAATATACCGTTAAATCTTAAATCCTCCTTTAATAATTTTTTAAGAACAATTACAGGAAAAAATAATATATTTTCTCTAATTTTGAAGAAAAAAAGAAGTTATTTTTTATCTTTAGCATTTTCTGACCTTGAAAACATTTTTTCTTTACTTGATATTATAACAGCTGGATGTGATGCAATTGAGATAAGAATCGATTTATTTCAAAAACCTGAGGAAATTGACAAATATCCAAGCTTAGAATATATAGCAGAGAAAATATTTCTACTTCGTCAAAAAACTAGTCTTCCTTTGATTTATACGTTGCGTACAACGAATCATGGAGGATCATTTCTTTCTTCTGAAAAAAAATTAGCGAAAGAATATATATTACATGGTGCAAAATGGGGATTCGAATTTCTTGATATAGAATTAGATATAGCATCTGAATTATTTAAGACCATAAATAACTCTTGGCCATATACAAAGATAATTGCATCTTATCATAATATAGAAAAACCAATATCTTGCGATGATTTTGAATGGATACAAAAGTACAAAGAAGCTCAACACTACGGTCACATTATAAAATTAGTGGGAACTTCATCATCAATTGAAGATAATTTTTTCTTAGAAGAATTTAAAAGCAAATTTATTAATAAAAAAGTACCTTCAATAATAATAAACACAGGCATAAAAGGCCAATTATCTAGAATAATGAATACATTTATGACGCCTGTTACTCATCCATCGCTACCATCCAAAATAGCACCTGGACAACTATCAATTAAAGAAATTAACACTGCTCTTCATATAATGGGTCTTCTTCCAGAAAAAAAATATTTTCTTTTTGGAAAACCTATTAAGCATTCTCAATCACCTAATATTCATAATTTAGGTTTTGAAATTTTAGGTCTTCCATATAAATATCAATTGTTTGAAACAGATTCTATTAGTGAACTTAAAGAAATCTTACATTTAGAAGAATTCGGGGGAGCTTCTGTTACTATTCCACTAAAAACAAACATATCAATTTTATTAGATGAAATATCAGATCATGCAGCATTAATTGGTTCTGTTAATACTATAACAAGAACGTATAATAATGGACAATATATTCTTAAAGGTGAAAATACGGATTGGCAAGGAATAATAAAAGCAATAAAGAATTTTAACAAATTTGAAAAATCCTTTGAAAATTTCTCAGGGTTTATAATTGGAGCAGGAGGAGCAAGTAGGGCAGCTATATATGCATTACTT